AACGCCACCAAATTATTGGTTTAAATTTGTAATTATTAATGAAAGTTGATTCAAAATTTTCCATAAATAAATTACTAAAAAATGGGGATAGTGGTGAAAAAATTCAAAATTCTGTTTTTTTTAAAGACAAAAATTTTTGAGGCAAAATACCCACAAAAAACTAGTTTATGTTATAAAACCGGTTTAGATATGTTTGGAAATTTCGATCAGGTGTTGAAATTATAGATCAGAACTTATATTAATTTGAAAAATGTTTATATTTTAGTAGGTATATCGTTCAAACGCAGGCTTCTTTCCGACATCTTCATTTAGTCCATTTATAACCGTTATTAATGGTCGATGTTCGAGGAAATCTTTTTTCTCTAGGGCATATTCTCGTTTTTCCATAAGCGACAAGAGTAATTCCCGGCTATACTCGAGTAAATAAACTGGGGAAGTGGGATTACTGTTGAAAAATTGCTGTGGCTTTTCTGCAGTGGCCCAGACCAACATTGGTCGATTTTCTAGCTTTTACACAGCAGACAGATCACGTTTATATTTCGGACTTTTTTCAGCTGAAGAATATTTGAGACAGTTTTTGCTTGAACTAAATTGCAATTTTGCTTATCATCTGCAGAAACGTTTCAGGAAAATGTATTTTACAATGAAGGAAGAGTTAAACCTGATCCATGACATTTTTGAAAGCGAGATTATCATTTATAATACGCAGTATTAATTTTATCGAGGGACATGATAATACTAATGAAGAGAACACGACAATATTAATGTTTGATTCAAACACCTTATCATGTACCTCGATGATCAATGAATTAACACACTAATATTCCATATTTATGAATGATTATGATGATAATGAAATATTCCAACTTCAGATTTATCTCAATATCTCATTTTTAAGCAACTGGAATTAAAAAAATATATATTTTTTGATATCGCTTTACAATTCCTCCTCGGGAATGACTTCGATTTTAAACTCTTTTTATGTTTTGATACTGACATCAGAGTACTTTTCAAGATATAAACATCAGATATCACAACATACTTTTGATAATATTTGGTGCAGATGCAAGTGAAACGTTCTCTAGAAACATCAATCGCTATCATTTAATATGAGGAATGTTCAACCCTGTTTGAATAGTTTAGTTGCTAGTTAAATTTGCATAAATGTTGTGACTGTGCATTTGAGTGTTTAGCATGTACAGGTAAAACTAGTCTGAACAAATATTAGTTGCACATAATTTTTTCAGACATACTGCCCTACCATACTGACGATGTACCTCTGGCGAGGGAATTACTTCACAAAGCAGTTAGCGGCCTTCCAAATTTTTTCAAAGAAAAAGTCCCCACGAGTAATAATTTTCACTTATTCTCTTAAACATTTTAAAAGGATCTAGAAAGAAACTGTCTGATTTAAAACGTTGCATATAAATATTATCGTTTCTTTGTGATCCAAACAGGCTTTATTGTTGAAAAAACTAGTTTAAGACTTTCCATATACTTCAGGCGTTTTTTAATTGGGTAAATCGGTTTTATTAATAATTTTGAAATAATGATTTCTGAAAATAAATGATGTTAAATACAAAGCTGCCTTTTCAAAATCATTTCACTGCATTTCATCGTTCACCAAATTAGATTTATTGTTGAAATTGGTTAGTCTTTGCATTTGCATCATTTCGTTTCCTTGCATTGGCATTCATTTCCTGCTCAGCAAAAAGACCTTTTTCAACAATAAAGGACTAGTCAATGATAGTTTAGATCGAGTTGTAGACAATGCGCAATATAGATTAGAACATTAATTTGAAAATAACTGTGAATTAATCTAAAGTCTAAAAGTAAAAAGGTATTTATGGCTTCGTTTTAGACATTCTGCCCTATAAAACCGAGAACGAAGCACAGACTAGGGAGTTTTTAAACAAAGTGATAGAGGTGCTGCTGGATTTCGTAAAAGCCTCGAATGATCGGAACGAGAAGATTCTGGACTTTCATCATCCGGAGGAAATGCTGAAATTATTGGATTTGCGGGTTCCAGATCATGGGGTCACTTTGCAACAATTGGTTAATGATTGCGCTACAACGATGAAGTACCAAGTGAAAACGGGTAAGTATTGCATTTGAACTCAACATATAACTGCAAAAATAATGCCAGCCGCAAAAACTGGACCACCCTTTATACGAGTTTCTAATTAGCCAAGAAATCATGAACACGGACTTAAAGTCTAAGCAAATATCAATGTTTCCAAGTTTTATCTAATACTAGTCCTACTCAGTGATGATGTTATCCTGTACTTTTTTGTACGTATTTGTGAACACTACACGGTATGATGGCATGAGCTTTTAAGCACAGGCAATTTATTCTCACACATTTTCGTCCCCAAAAATCATTGTCGACAGGAAACTAAATATCGCAAGGTCTTCGAAGTAAATGTAGGCAGCATTGGGGCGTATATCCTGCTGTGTTGAATGGGCCCTTAATAGCTCGCCTGCTATCTGACACACATTCAATTACAACCTCTATTTATTTTGTCACCGACGATACAAAATACAACCCTCTGATTGTATTAAGATATCTGAGTAACTTAAAAAAGACCATGCAGGAGTCGATACGTTGATATCTATCGTGGCAGTTTCTGTCTGGGGAAATGACGAGTGTCGCGTGATATAATTTATCAGGAGATATTTTAATGAACATTTTTAACTGTTTATTTGTTAAGTAATACACGATGAAAAACTTGCTTGTACTGATAACAGTATGGCGCTAGTTGATACTTATTCATGCGACAAAAGGGAGGCAGAATAAACTTAATCAACTTATTAAGGACCTACAGAAAATTAATTGAATATCCAATATGATAGCGGGACTAATATATTAAAAAATATTTAATAAGCATATATCACTGTATTATTACTTCTGGGTAACTCAAAGAATTTACAGCTGAAAACTAATTTACTATTTTATATATTTTAATAAAAAACTGCATGTTTTTGCGATGTAAAACCGTAGTCTATGGGAATTTGGCCGTTTTTCAGCAGAGTTACGTAAATCTGAAAGGAAAAATCATACGAAAAAGTATCTGGTTTCGTCAATCGCAATGCACTTTTAGTATTATGGTTTAGAGTTTATTAATCTATATATAATAATATGAATATCACACACTTAGGTGGAAGATTACGCCAAAATTCCATGTTTTTGGTGCCGTTTTAGCTCATTTCTCGAAAGCAAAATGAACAAGAACGCGCATTTTTGCATCATTCCAGAGATAATAAAATGAGCTTCTTAGAAACTATCGATAGCATCATATTTAATAGTTTTTTCATAGAATAAATATTTTTCCAATGCAAATCAAAATAGACTGCTCTCTGCACTGTTGAAAAATTGGGACCAGCCTTAAATAGCTTTCGAACTGCTGGACTTCACAGATTAGCCATATACAATCGGGCTTAAATTTAAATTTAAATTCGGTTGTCATCAACGCCTCTAAATCGTGCCAAATAATCTAGAAAATTTATGTGTAGGATGTAAGAAGATGCACCCTCGGTTTGTTAATATTCCAGCCACAATCTGCTCGAGGGTAGATAACATATTATCATTGAATTACAAGCCACTCGCGATATGAAAGTAAACATGATTTTCAGGGGAGAATATAATCGGGAAACTGTGGTGGTCGTTTTGTGCAGTGATTTTAAATAATGCAGAAATTATTAATTTTTACAAAACTTTAAAAAATATCAGGAATATAACAGTAAATTAATAAAGTTTGGTTTTATTTGGATTTATAATAACATGCGAATGTTTATAAAACTTGTAGGACAAGTTACTCACAAGTGGAATGTTATTTTCTAAGATAATTGCGATTCAATCACGTCGTATAAAATCAGATTAATTTTTGTGGGTCCAGCTTACGTAAAAAACACATTGAAAATTATCATAAACATTTTATATATGTATTGTCATAAAGTGCACTTTTACTATACATATGCTGTTTATTGCTAGTTCATTTTTTAATTGAATTAAAGTAAATGATCTCGTCTATTTATAATTAATTACTCGTTTAATCTAGCTTATTTTATATTTCGTGCTTCTTACCTTACATAAAGCTCTTATTGCTGCTTTTCGCCAGTACAAACTATAGCTGGTTTAATATCTTTATTTTAATTTCAATATTATATATTTATTTTAATATTGTTTGCTCAAAAGTCTCGAGTCTATCAAAATTAAGTAATGTTAAACTATTGAAAATATTTACAGTATTCCTTATATCGACTTGAAAAAGATACCGGTGTTACTTTTTCCTGATGGCAATTTTCACACTTGCAAGCAAGCTATGCTTCCAATTGTTAAATTGAATAATTGTGTATATTTTTGGAGTAGAGACGGCAATATTTATTTTTATAATTCATAGATTGTTATTCACATACATTTTGTCTTATTGTAAAAAATCTAGTTACTTTGTAACTTCTAAATGTGATTTTCATTATACATTGCCCATCGACTTATATATCAGTTTTGAATAGAACTCTTTTTAACACAATTTCGTACATTAAAAACACAGTATATGTGGTTTCAATTCATTCCAGAGCAGGTACGTGACTGCAAATTTCTTCTGGCACGTGCCAACTCTTCACACAAAACACAATATTTGATTATTCTGGGTGGCGGCATAAAAGACCACTGATTGCGTTGAGCTTAAACCCCCAGAGGGATCGATAGAAAGCCACCCTAATCTAATAAATCCGAGGACAAACTTTCAATTTGGTGTCATTTAATATCGTTTTGAGGAGTTGCTTTGAATAGACCTAATATTAGTGCAGGAGAAATCACTTTACAATTCTATGGTCAGAAGGCAAAAGAAAGTCGTAAGATAAAATTGTCTTTGCTTCGGCGATAGTTATATAATATAATTATAGATTAAAGAAAAAAAATTAAAGACATCAAATACATTTTAAACCATTTTAGAACAAACCTTTCAATGGTTTACCATGGTAGGTGTTTAGTTCACATCAAAACACGCGCTTAACGGTTCCTTCTTATAAGTAACGCCTTCAATATGAAGTCAGCAATCAGCTGTTCAACTATGGGCACTCCAACTTTCTTGGCCAGCTTCACTCCCACTTTCTCAGAATATACAATTTACTTGCAATGAACAGCAAACCGTGAGTTGTGAGTGTTTCTCATGTACACGTTTTGACCTATTAAGAGCCTTCTCAAGGAAGGTAAACTAATTTGAATAATTAGTCCCCAGTGACTATTCAACTACATTAAAAAATGGTTAATTACAAAGTAGAATGTCTACCTTCAAGAGTCTTCGAGTCAAATGTCTAATACTCGAGCAGTAAACTCATCCCATTAACTAAAAAAAAATAAACTCAATAAATGTATAATAATAATAATAATTTCCCACCACTCGATTAAATTTGAAACAATTTTGAAACTTGACTATAACATTGCATTCACCTAATCAATCATCTCATATTTACGGAAAAAGGAAAAGCTGGCTATCGATCACTAGAATTTCAATCAAACTCGAGCGGAAACATTTTGCCGCTTGAAAAAACGCCATCAAACATCGGAATCCGCAAGATCCGAGCTATAAATTCGCTATTATGCCGGGCTATTGCTCAGAATAATTGAATGTCAGTGGACTTGAAACAAAGATGTTACTTGCGGATGCCTGCACGAAACCCTCTTCTTGAAACACGCGACCTATTGGATTAGCACTAATCCCTTCCTAAGCCTCAACTTGGAGTTATCCGAAATGTTGACCTAAACTTATGGGACGAGACTCTCACATTGTGATGGTTTGACTTATGCCGACTGTTCTAAAATTTGCCAATTTACCGTCTCAAGTTGTTGATTGTTTGTCTTCCACAGTATCAACATCTGGCATCTACAGACGTTAAAAGATCTTCATTTGTATGTTTATTTCTCAAGTATTTTGCGATTTTTTAAAGGTTTCAATTTTGTGCAGATATGCGCCTGAATATAAAAGCCACATTTTTTGTTTGAGATAAGGCATCACCCCCAATCTATAAAATACGAATTCCCGAACTTTATGGGTTTGAGGGGAGTTTTTAATCCAGCGTGGGATACCGGCTGCAGCCGCGGGGATCAATTGGGGGAGCACTGAGTGCTCTTAATTACACCACTTTCAAATGACGTGCGTTCGGGGTGAGAAAATCGTGTTAATTTTTTGACGAGCACCAAAATTGATTTAAATACCGCTTTAACGATGTTAATGTTACACCGAGATCTCCTTCTTAATTTATTTTACAAATACTTCAATTGTATCCTATCTACCTTTAATTGATCCTAAGTTGAATACAATATTAACCCATTGCTTGACAAGTGCAACTCCTCTCGCTCCCAACTCAAAATGCATGGTTTAGAAAAACTGCATCTCATTGAACAAGTTAGCAGTTAGAATTAAGAGAATGTAAAACTTCAACTGAAAATTCTACTTTTGAGATTGAACAAGATGCACCATGATAATAGCACAAAATAAATTTCTTACCTGTTCTGTTTCTTCTGTTCTCTTACCTCTGCTCAGACCGAATCCCTAAGACAACTTGTTCAATTGCTCTTATATCGGTCAGAAAATTACTTCCTAATCTAATCCCAATCCATGTATTACGATTAATGCGACATTACGAATTGTTATGAAATTTAGCACCTATTTTGCTACTTGAAATACATCTTTTGTATGTTATTCTTCTGCTACGTTTGTCATTTCTTTCTCCTCAGGTTTCCTCGATATTCTGCTATACGTAATTAAAGCATTTTCTCTTTATTTTTTACATGGTTTATTCTCGTTACGTAAAGCTATTAAAGCAATTGCAATGTTGGTTAACTTTAACTGGTAATGTTCTTCTCTATGAGAAGTTTGTTTGCATGCACTACAGCGTTCAGAACGGCAATTTGCTAAATAAATTTGCGGTAACTATCTTTGATGATTGTTTAGTGCGTATTTTTCTTATTGCTAGAATAGTCTGCACTATAATTAGACCCGCAAACAGAACAGAAAATATTCTTCCACTTGAGCGCTGACGAAGATCAATTCTAGGCAAAATATATTTGCCTACTAATAAACTTACGCACTTACATATTATTTCATAAATTGCGACATATTTAGATTAATCTATTATTAATAAATATTTTGTATTCACAATGTATTTGATTAACTTGATGGAGTTAAAAAAATTACTGAAAACGTTAAAACAATTTCAGTGCAGCCATATAAATTGAGTTAATAAAACTCAAACTCAACAAAAAAATAATCCATCCGAATAAATCGATATTGTACTAACGAGAATCGAAAATATAATAAGCTTTAAGGGCTATGATGAAAGCAAATCCGGTTTTATCAGTTGAAAAAATATTACTTTAACCCAAATTTCGACGAATAAATGGAATAATATATGATTATCGCAAAAATCAATGTGCGCGGGAAAAATTTACCAATAAAATGTAAATACATGTGTCCGAGCAGCGGATAGATAGAACAAATGTAATAAATTTTGTTCTAAAAAAACACATACGCTGATTGATAAAGCTCACTTGAGAAATATAAAAATATAATAAAGTGTAGAACGTATGAAAATAAAATGTAATCAAAACGAGTAACAGAAGTAAACAATTTCAATCTACGAAATACATTAAGATTAGATTATAAATATACATTTATCGGGCAATAATGTTGTATTGGAAAATGCGATTTTGCTAGAAATACATTTCAGATCAAATAAAATTGTTACAGATGAAATGGCTTCCAAATATGTTTCAAGGTATACTTCGTAATCAATAAAGAAATGTTGTAGTTAATGTTGCAACCTTTAAACAAATATCGTTTGCGTAAACATATAATAACAAAATTGTTCTTATTTTTATATTGTATGCTAATTGAAAATTTAAAAATTAAAAAATATTTGTTACTGATCTGATTGCATTTTAAAAATAAATTAAAGTCACTTTCGTCTACTGGCTCAATTTAATTTTTCTAGTAAATTTGGAAGTTTGCATTCAGCAACGCTTTTGTATCAAAATGTACATTAATCCGCTTGTTTTACACCATTCGCTGTTCATGTACGAATAAATGAAAATTGAATCGACTCTCCCATGATCATCTGAAGTCTAAAGGCAAAAATGTGCGCTTCTTTAGAAAAATTGCTATTTGAATCCGTAATCCTCAATCCCGAAGGTGCATTTAGGTCATAAACGTCAGTTCGGATCAGTAGGACGAGAAGAAAATAATTGCAACAGGAGCAGGGCTAATAGCCTGGAGCCGGATGGCGATGTAATCCTGCTAAGTCCCGGATTGTCCCGACGCGCAGTCTGTCAGAAATGGGGCTTTACGTTCTCTATATACATTCACTCCACTGAGTCAACGCCAGGGCGGGATTTTTGGAGAGTTCTCTCCAGTATCCCTTAAAGGGTATTCGAAAAAGTTAGTAGACAAATTCATTCAAAACCTTCAAAACTTCTAAATTTATATAACAAATGCGAATCTTTGGCATCTATTTAAAAAAAAGTCTTAAGAACGAGCAGTCTCATGAATGTGCATAAAGGGTGGGCAAAAGAAAATGCTTTTATATATTTACTTAGTATGAAAGTGATAAAATATTGCTTCTGATTTAACTGCAACAGAGACTAAAAATATCAACTAGAAATAGTCTATTTCATCGAAACCACACGAATCATATATACTCTTCATATATTGAAATAAACTTTTGTCTTACTAAGGTGGAAAGTTCATTTGGTAAATTTAAAAACTTCTCATTATTATAATATTATTTAAATTATAAAATCGATTTTTTCGCCCCCATCGGAGAAGTGGCTAATGGATTATCTAAAGATAATTAAACACGACGTACTTAATTTACGTTAAATTTAACAGAAATAAAAACCATATTTAAAGCATTATCTCGTTCTGTACTAGTTGCATTAAATAAAGAAATTATTGTGGACGTTCGTTCTTGTCGTAAAATCGGATTTGTCAGAGTCGCATAATGCTGAATTTTGCAATTCAAGGATACAATGAGGGAATAGAAAATTCTATAATGAATTGAAAGCATGAAAAATGTGGCAGTCGAAAAAAAACATAGAAGAAGATAATAATAATAGCGTTATAAATGACCCAAATAATTGCCCTCGAAATCTGCGATTCTGGCAGAGTTTCAACTGAAGTGAAGTTCACTTTCAAATATTTCGTTCATTCATGCAACCCGGAACATTACATTTTTTTCTTTAGCCGTTTGTGAATTTTCAGCATCAACATGAGGCCTAGATTATGAAAATTGGTTGAAGACCGAAACAATTATCTCTGCAAGCGCAAAAAGTTTATTTTTCTAAGACGACTCGGCAAATAGCTTTTTTTAAGATGAGGTTTACTTTATGCCTGATATATTAGAATAAAAAAAAAACCTTTTTTGTCGGAGGCAATGGAGGGCAAGTGGAACTTTCACCAATTTTGCATTGTCTCATTTGAAATTTTGTAAAAACTTTATCTGGAGCACTTATTTATTGCACAAACCTGCACTAATTCAAAAATAATTGCACTTAATAACGCTTCAAATCGAAATCAAGTCGCTCCCAATAATCAGAATTTATCCAGTTTCAAAACTAGTCCAAATTTGTTCGTGTGTCGTTTTTTTGTTGAGCAGGTTAGATCGAAGCATGGTAATCGAATAAGACTATATATTTTCGAGAAAATAAGCTTCATTTGCCTTGCACGTGAAGCCAAAGCAGCCTTGGAAATGTATTACTAATGTATTAACTAATTAGTAATAAAAACAGTTAACCAATTAAGTAATCAAAGTATTGCTAAATACTTTAAGTGTGTGATGACCAATTTTGTGATTAAGTAAGTAATCAGCTGTTTTCTTGTTGTTTCAAATAACTTTTCAAGTTTTGCTGCTATTCTTACGCTCCAATTTTGTCAATTCAAACTACTGTTTTTGGAGCTCCTTAGTTATTCCATATTTTTACCATCAACCTTGTATTTGGCTCAAAAATACATAGTAACTTTTCATCTGTAAGTAACCTAACGAGTAATCTAATATGTAGTTTCTTTATCGGAACACTGTTTGGTCATATACAAAAATCAATCTAAGCAAATAATACATACGCAATACCCACGACTTTCTGCCCTTGGGTTTCCTAATCGATCCATATCAAACATATAGAAATTTGCAAATTTACTCTCAAAAAACTAGGAGGCGAGAAGAAAACAATACCCGAAATATTGTCTGATTTCAGCCTGCAAAGCTTTAAAGCATTTTGCAGCAAAGCTGTTGTTAAGCTTCCTAATGATTATCATGTGTAAAAAAGTTTCGTATTGAAAATCGTTGAGGAAGTTAAGCACTCAAAAAGCAATTATTAAAAAAGTAAATATCAATGTTTTAAAGCTATCGTTATAAGTTAAATATACAATGTTAAGTGCAGTTTTCAGAATGTAAACCCCATCATTATGAATCTTACTTGTCTTGGATATGTTTTGGTGTCGAATCCTTAAACAAGATTTTTCAACCAAAAAATATCCATATGAGATATCTTCCTCTATCGAACCATTTTTAGGAACCGTATTTCGGAAATAAATGTCATTTACACACTAAACTCGAATTCAAAGTGGAGTTGCATTTCAGTTCGGAGGAATAAAATGTATTTAAATTTAAAAGGTTGCTTTCAGTAAAAATACAAATCACCACTTAATTGCTGCTTGCTTAAAGTGGGATGTTTTTATCCCCGAAGAATTGTATATTGTAAATTAGAAGCTCTGAAGCGAAAAGTTAGCTGTTGAAAAAGTGTGCTTTTTCTCAACTTGCTCTTCATTGAGCGCCATCACCATCATTACATAAAAAGCTCCGAAAAGCTTCATGGGTTGGTTAAATTTGTTGTAAAAGTGTTTCGCCTTAATTGATTGATTCACCTTCATTTTTGATGAGAAACTTACAGTTTAATAATATCGATAATGTTTAGTACGGACTGTTGGTGCATTATGAGCAACAAAACTATCTATGTTTATTAGTTTATTAAATCCAATTTCACCTGGTTTTGATAAATAATTCAATTTAGCGAGAAAAGTACATTAATAAATTCCCTGTTACGTTCATATTTGGATTACTGCTACGAGTATGATTGTGCAACAACTCTCCAGAATCCCGTCTTTTCCTGCAAGCAGATGCTTTCGACGTGTACAATCTCGGCTTTTTATTTGACAACAGACCCGTGAAATGGTATCGTTTTGATGCCTTTGTTGTAAGTCTGTTATTCTTCGAAGTATTTTTCATTTTTCTCGCTTTGTGCGAGTGAAAGATATGCTTTGGAATTGAAGTGGCTTGTTCGAGCAGTTTTCTTGCAATTCAGGCTGGAAACACTATTTACTGCAATTTTTAAATTATATTTAAATTCTTCATTCTTTCCCAGGTCATCCTAGGTTTTTCAATCAGCTCTCGTCTGGCTTGGATCTGATTTCTATGGCTGGAGAATGGCTGACAGCTACAGCTAATACCAACATGTTCACCTATGAAATTGCTCCTGTTTTTATTTTGATGGAGAATGTCGTTATGACCCATATGAGGGAACTTATTGGAAGTGATTGGAGAGACGGCGACTCCATTCTAGCTCCAGGTAAACTTACATGAATTTTTATTCAAATAATTATCAAAATACTATACTTTTTTAAAAGCCAATTTAAAAGCAATGGTTGATCACTATCAATTATTATTTATACTTTTCATTTGGCCATTAATTGCTGTTGCAATACTAAGCAAACGGGTTCGCTATTGTAATTTTTTTAATTTTTTGCAAGTACATATCATTTTTTAAATTTAACTTAAAACTTTCAAAATAAATTTAAATTTTAAGATAGCCGTTTTTTAAACATCCGTTACTTTACTCAACTCAATATGTTAGTAAGCATATTCTCTCTCCAAGGATTTCAAGTTTATAGAAAATAATGTTTACGCGTATATGGATAGAAAACGTTGGCAAAATATAAAATAACAAATGACTGTTTATAACAAGCTCATAGGGTTTTCAACATATCAGTTTGAAAAATGAATGATGCGAATTGCGCATATTTAAGTTATTGAAAATTTTAGAAGACAAAAATAGTAAAAGTTTTTCAATAGCTATATCGGGATTTTTAATCACTACTAAAATTTCTCGATTGTTAAATCGGGATTTTTATCTGATTCTAAAATGTTTAAATAGATAAATCGGAAATTTTAACTAATAATAAAATTTTTCAATAGTTAAATCGGGGTTTCTAACACTTTTCAATAGATAAATCGGGATGTTTAATTACAAATTTTTCATTAGCTAAAATATATTTTTTCTTTTTACGTATATTTTTTAACCAAATTAAAAAAAAACGGCAGTAATTTGTTGTGCTAATTCGCTCTCTAAAAAAAAATTTAGTTTTAGTTTTGATGTTTATATAATAGTTTTTGTTTGAGGCGCACTTCCTTTGCGTTCAATCGGCTCTAATTTTTCGCAATTTTTATATCGACGTTTCGAATGGCTGTCTCTTACATGATGTTGATCAAAAAAGTTTGCTTTGTGGAATCTTTTCGGATCGACCGTTTGCGATTTGTCGACTGTTGAAAAATTTAATTTCCATTACTTTGTATGATCTTGTTTATATGAGAAATTTTTTTATTTTGTATAGTAAATATCCAGTGTTACAGATTCATGTATGAGAATGCCGGTGATAATTTTTGTAGTTTTTCTTTTATCAATTATTAATGTTTATTTTACGATTAGAGTATTTCCTTATATCCAAAATTTTGGAAAACTGTTAGATTTCGTGTTTTTTTTGAACATTTTAAAACATGTATCTACACAGTGGATAAAATTTAAAGAAACTATTTAATTTTATGAGTGTAATTCCAAGAGACTGAAAATATACCCTCGACTGAGAAATGTATGTCCTTAAACGTATTGAAAACTCGACAGAACAAAATACGCTAAATCCTTATAAATAAATTGGCTGCATTGAAAAGTGAAAACCATTCTGTTTACTAGAAAAGCGGAATTTCTGCTAAATTGTTACTGGAATCATTCTACTCATTTTAGGTGGATCCATTTCGAATCTTTACGCATTTTTGGCTGCCAGACATAAAATGTTCCCCAACTACAAAGAAAAAGGAATAGCCACTATTCAGGGACAACTTGTGATGTTCACATCAGATCAGGTGTGTTCGTCTCAACTTTTTGGAAATTACGAGTTATCAAATTGAATAATCAACTTTCAGAGCCACTACAGTGTAAAATCCTGTGCATCTGTGTGCGGTCTTGGTACTGATAACTGCGTAATGGTACCATCCGATGAGAACGGACGTATGATTACTAGAGAGCTGGAGAAATTAGTAATCGATCGGAAAAGCAGAGGTTGTAGACAATAATTTTTTACAATTAATGGCAAATTTTATTAATTAAAATGCTTGTTGCAGGACACATTCCTTTCTTCGTTTGCGTTACATCGGGTACCACTGTGCTGGGAGCATTCGATCCTATTAACGAAGTAGCAGATATTTGCGATAAATATGGAATGTGGCTGCATGTTGATGTGAGTTGTTCAAAATTAATGTAATTTTTTGAGCCATTAATATGAAAGCTATTTTTTTAAAGGCCGCTTGGGGCGGGGGTTTACTGTTATCGAAGAAGTACAGACATCCTAGGCTGAGTGGTGTTGAACGGTAAGTTTTAGAACCAATTTAGTTGTGGTGATTTTTTTAAGTAGTCGGTTATTTCGAATTTTCCCCATAAAAGCCTCTTTCCATTTGTTAACTTTTTGCGAATCTCTAAATAGCATAGCTTTGCAAAGCTTGAAAAAGAAACGAAATTAGCCAAAAATCCAGCCAGGCCATAAAATCAATATTCCGATAAAGCCCGCACCAAAGCCACCGATAAGCTGTAAAGTGGGCATCAATTTGCATTTTCAACTGCTTACGGTTTAGAAAACACTTTCCGGCAGGGTCGAAGTGTCAAATGCACTCCGGGGAATCCTCGGTGATTGACTTTAGTTAAGCTGTTCGGGGCGGGAAGTGTTTTGAGCATTATCGTATGCAAAAAAACTATATTTTGCCACCAACAAAAATGTGAATAGATGACTACAAAATTATAATAAACTAAAAAAATATAAATAAACTTGAATATGTTACAGACAAAAATTTGAAAGCTTTTCACGCAAAAAAAAATAGTGAAAAAAATGGCGCCGTTTTCTAATTAATTACCAGATGCTTAGTATATTAAGAAGAAATGTTACTTTTTTTATATAACGCGTTTTCTCAGGTAAATTGATAGCCTTAAATTATTCTGGTTTTGCTTTGACAAAATAACTTATTATTATTAACTTATTTGAGGGTCTTTGCACTTACTTTTGTTACGTTCATTTGAGTGAATTGCGTACCTTTTTTATGACTCGATGAGTCTTAAATAATCGGCAAATAAAAAGTATCTTTCGTTTGGTGTAGCTTCTAACCTGATCTGCTATGTTGGGCATTTATTCGCCAGTTTTTCTAATTTTACTCACAACTATGCGTAATTTTAGTCGTAGTATAAATTTAAACGTTCACTAAAACGGCGTTAATGCTCTAATCTCGTCTACCATTATTTGGAGACAGTTGGGACGGTTATGCAGCTGTAAGATTCCCATGTAGTCAGGGATTACTCTTTCACTTCAATCCCGACACGCTTTTGCCATTATTTGCCAAGGAAAAAATCGGGGACTTTAAATCTCCTTAATTAACTAACTTTGAAGCAGCTAAAATTGGAAAACATCTATAAATAATTTACAAGCAACCGTTGGTTTGGGTCTAGCAATGAAAACTAGTCTACCAAGTGACCATTGAACTCTTAGCTTTATATTGCTTAATATCAAAGTCAAAATAATATTTTCAACAAAAAAATTGTTCTGGTGCTCTTCAAGTAAGTCACATCAAACCTTTTAAAAGGGTTGGGCCAATTTTGAACGACGAAATAGTACGACATAATATAATAATCATTTTTTTAATAAATAATAATTTATTTAAATTTACAATTTAATTTGAAATACCTGCATAACGGAATGAGCAAAGAACCGACAATATTTTGTTGCTTAAAGCTCCGTTTACACTTTGCAAGTAATTGCGACCACTAAAATGGTCATGTGTAAGCCGCAGAAAAGTGCACCTGCCGGCACTTACCGCATGGGAATCAAATAATTGTGTTCTTCAAAATGCGAAAAATAATGCTAAAAGAACACATAAATAAATAATAATAATAATAAAAAAACGAGAAAACACACTTAAAAAACTTTTGTGTTTTGCAAGAATCTGGAAGCGAAAATAAAAGAAATGAAAACTGTTTATAGACAAGAAGTGAATAAATTTAAAAAGTGGAAACAAAAAAGAGTTTTCGATGATTTGTTGATTTCTTATACAGGGTGTTTAATTAAATATTGCAACGGAAAACTGTATATTCAAAAACAATTGTTAGTACTTCTACTTTCCTTTCTGTCCTCTCGTTTGTCCTCTAATTTTAGTTTTTTTTGGGAATACTTTAGGCACTGACGTCTAAACTGCAGGAACGAGCTATTTTTTCGCAGCTTACTCAAATTATGGACCTGATAGCGGTCGAGATTTTAAGGGATAGTTGACAGGTTTGCTTTTAAAATAAAAAAATAATTTTTCTCGAAACCCGTTAACTTTATAGCAATAAAGCTAGAAATCTCTTCATCAGCGCCTTAAAAATATATACTGACAAAATCATAGATTTTCCGTGGCAAATCAGTTATACGTACCTCAGCATATACCTACATAGGTGTATTTATATAATATACAAATAATATATATATGCTGTATTATATTATAGTACAGCATACAGAATTTCATTTTTCTCTCTAAGAGTTAAACAGTGTTTTTCGTAAAAAAAAAGGCAAATAAGAAAATCTGTTGGGTTTAGGTGTTTTGAGTCACACTAATCACAATTGAATTAAAATGCAATAAATGCACTACATATGCAAAGGCAATAAAAATTAATGACAATTAAAAAACTGAAGAAAAGGGATAAACGACTATCACCAAACTCGCGTTAACATTACAAACTTCGAACTGCACGAACCAACTGGTTAAAACTGAACAGAAGCAGTAAAAAATACTGGATAATGAGAACAAACTTTGTCACACTTGTTATCACAGATTGTAAAAACAATTAGTAAGCAAGCTGCTTGGAAAATTAATAAAATGATCATCATTCTGCTTTTCTGTTTGAAACTTTTGACCCATTTTAGGTGCAGATTCCCAGTTTACAATGAGTATCATTAGTTTGGACGCTTTAGCCTGAAAGCTGGGGTGTTTAAAAGTTACCCTAAAGCCGTAAATTACCCGCGCTAAAACCACAATTATGACCTCGACAGGCCAGTATTAATTACTGTTTTCATTAATCATGTCTTGGGCGGCATTCAAAACCTCCGACTTCCAAGTGGGATGTGAAACGGGGCGACTATTAATCCAGGCCGTGAAAAAACGATCCCCAGCTGCAATACACTTGTTACATGACACAAATTGTAAAGTAGGAGAACAAAGAGCTGAAGGGGAGATTTTATTGCATTATAACTATGAATCTTATGCAATACGTTGGCTCTTGTTGTTTGTTTTTACTGATTTGATGATATACCGATAGTAAACTACTAGCTGCAATAATGATTAAATTCGCTTTGAAAACTAACAAAATTAACACTGATCTTGGCCTAAACTAAAGCACTACAAGTCGTGCAACTTATTTTTTTTGCGCTCTAGTACAATATTCAAACCTCGTAACTCAGCAAAACTTTAACTCGTAGTTATGCGTGTACAATTAACAACTAATATTTCTTTCTAATAAATATTAGAAAAGTAAGGGGCTTAGCTAATATACAGGGTATCCCGTAAGCACAAGATCAAAAGGGTACTGCGATATTTTTTGCATCAAAAGAAGACGATCTGACCTAACTTTTATTAGCAAAATATGTCTGGCTCCTCTGCTATTGATGGTCAAATTTGTTCAAAAAAATCATCTTTTTTTCAAATATCAGGAGAATGGTACGGCGTATTTTGGTGAAACTCGCTGTGAATTTGTTCTTATGTTGTAAGACTAAAGAAGAAAACTAAGACTAAAGTTAGAAATTCCTCCATCCTTTGAACAAGTTGATTTCGGTTCTTCAACGTATTTTTCTTTTCCAGGGCGCAATCCGTAACATGGAACCCACATAAACTAATGGGGGCTCTTTTGCAATGTTCAACAATCCATTTCAAAGAAGACGTATGTTTAAGTGAGTTGAGTTTGCAACATTTTTCTCCAATGGTTCTTTGCTGTTTAGGGCTTGCTCATGAGTTGTAACCAGATGGCTGCCGATTATCTTTTCATGCAAGACAAGCTCTATGATATCAAGTTTGATACTGGAGATAAAGTGATTCAATGCGGTCGCCACAACGACATTTTCAAGCTGTGGTTGCAGTGGAGAGCCAAAGTGAGTAAACCAACAAATTTATTTGCAGATGCGATTTGTTTTACGCCAAATTTATTTATACCGGGTGGTCCAGAAATAAGCTGCGACCATCAACTTATCTTCTTCAAATGGATGCACCTATTTTTTATTTCAACTTCTTCCACAGGCCTTGATGAACTTACATAACTGACTCACGGTATAAAAGTCAAATGGGGCAAAAGTAGGTCGGGTATTGGCATGAACATGCACATAATGTAGACGGTTTATATTGGTCTTTTTAACTACGTGTTTTTAATGTTTTTCAGTTATTAAAACCTCTAATATTGTTCTCCATTTAAACCCCGTGTATTAGTTGCAAAGCCATCCTGATTTCAAAAGTTTTTATTTAATTTTAAAATTTTCCATCCACCTATACGCCTCTTAAATGTTTATTTTTACTGTTCTTACAAACTCTGGTTCGATCTATAAAAATCGGATTGGACTTAATACCGACTTTTCTTCGTAATTGTAATTCATAAATAAAGATCCTAATCAATTAACTCGAACGGTTAAGTTGTTTTCCTCTTATAGCTAGAGTTTTTTGGGGAAACTTTCAGCAAAAAGTTTCCCCAGGTGAGGCTCGAACTCACAACCCCGGCATCGCTCACGACTACTGTCTTATAAGTACCGTGCGCTAACCAATTGCGCCACTGGGGATCCATCGGAGATGGCCCATATAGAGTATACGTATATCGACCAAATTTATTAAATATTCATATATAAATTGAGATTAAATTTTACTTCACAGACGCCCCTAAAAGGTAAATGCTCAACTGAGGTGAACAATTACGGTTGTAAAATCGCGGTTACAGAAACATCGACTTTTTTGCACTAAACATTACAAAAACCCCACTTCTCAAATATACGCTTCAGTCGGGCTAAATTGCTTTATTTTATCGTTAGCACTGATAACAAAGTCGAAATTTAAACAGCAAAACAACAGTATTCTTGTAAGAATCCAGTTAACACAAATCACTTCTCACTCCACGCAACTCACAATACACGAAGCGTACACCTTAACCGATTACGAGGGAGCTTCGGAAGTTGGACCACCTCTCGAATCGAAAATACGCACCGTTTTCGAGAAAAGAATAACTTAACAAGTTAACTTTGCATAGAGGCTGAATAGAGACGAGGCGGAATGACTGTATTTAAGCGCTAATAACGCATTTTTTTCTTTAAAATTTTCTATTGATGGCTGTTTTCGAATAATCTTGAGAATTGTATTTTTCCTAATACTTTTAATGCCATGTAGATCCTAAAAGAAGCGTGTTCGAACTTGCGTTACTTGCACTATTGCGTGTAAAATAAATTTCTTCTTCTTCATTCTTTGAAATTTTGTAGTTGATTAATTTGCCCTTTTGATTTCATATTTTGCCGAAAAAGAGAATAAAAAACTGTAGAGGTACTTAATAGTAATATTTTGAGAGGAAAATTAATTTACAATCAACTGCTTCTCATAATAAAGAGTTATTTCAAGGCAATAATAGCGAATGCATATTTAACAGGGAGACGAAGGATTTGAAAAACACATGGATCGACTGATGGAACTATCTGAATATTTAGTGAAGAGAATCAAGGATCAACCTGACAAATTCTACCTCATTATGGAGCCAGAAATGGTAAATGTCAGCTTCTGGTATATTCCATCCCGACTGAGAAACATGCCTCATAGTAAGCATAGAGAACAAGAACTTGGAAAGGTACGTCAAACAATTTCATTATGTAAAAATACTGTTGCTATAAATCTCGAAATAATAACTTTTTTCATAAATGGGGCACAAAACATGAATATTGTCGAAAAATAAAGTAAATAAGTTTGTACATCCCTTCAATGGGGCGCCAAGCTGAGCTTCAAGCTCAGAATCTCAAGATTTCCGATAACTTCGAGCTCGACTTTCCAAATGTTTTTTTTATCTATTTATTAGATTTACATATTTTAATTCTGCTGTTATCAGTTGTATGGAGTTGTGTCTTGATGATCTTATGTATTTTCCATTTACATCTTCTCAAAAACTACTTACATCTTATTTGCCTAGATCTATGCATTAACCGAAATTTAATTAAATTTTCTTTTAGCAGAACAATAAGTCTGAAAATGGAAATATAACTTATGCCTGCTAATAGTGAGTTTTATCTTAAAATTTCGCAGAATTTTATACATTTTTCGTTTCTATCAATGGCACAGAATTTATTAATTTTCTCTTTCAAAACAAAAAACGCCTCTTAAGGGAAACGGTGTTTGCTGTTTAAATACGCTATAATTTAAAAAAAAAATTTTTCCTGACTGCGTGTAATTGTTATTATTATATTCTTTTCCTTCCTGAGTTTCAGTCAAAGTGTCAAGTAAAAATTTTTTATATAGTTTATTTCATTACGCTTCGACGAGACAAAAGCGCATCATCAGATTTTAAAATTTATACAAACTACAAACACCAATTTAAACTTAAAATACATGTTGTACAAAAAGTACAATTTTTAAAGAGTTAAAACATTCATTAGTTCTTGAGGAAAAAACCTTTCTTTTTGAGAGCAAAAAGAGATATTTTTTGCAAAAGAAATAAACTTTTGCAAAAACAATTTTTTTTGCCTCAAGAACTAATGAATGTTTTAACGCTTTATAAATTATCCTTTTCGTACAACATATATTTTAATTGTAAATTGGTGTTTGTAGTTTGTATGAATTTTAAATTATGATGATGGCGCTTTTGTCTCGCCGAAACGTAATGAAATAAACGATATACAAAATTTCTGTTTCACACTTTGACTGGAGCCCAGGAAAGAAAATAATATAATATACGCTATAATATCTTACTTAATGTTTGTTAAAAAGGAATTTCTAAAGCAACTATAGTCTTATCCTGTACATTACTTATGATGGTAGTTTTTGTATCAAATGCGCGTGTTTAAAGTCGATGAAAAACAAAAGAATAACATTCAAATTTTGTCAGCAGTTTTTTACTCAAAGTACATTATTATATTTTGCAATTAAATGTTTACCTTACAACCATTTTCAAGGGAAACACTAATTTAGGAAATATTTTTGTATTGTGCCAAGTCAAGTCAAGTAAAAAGTGTTCGGTTTCAACCATTTCGCACGTTTACGATTTAAATGTGTTTTGTTGTACGAGTACCGAATTTCGAAACTGATATTTTAAGGCATGAGAAGAAATTTTTACTAACTATAGAATAATAAAAGCGTGCACTTATAAAATTAACGCAATTTTCAGATGTGTCCAGTTTTAAAATCGCGAATGATGCAAGCTGGCACATTAATGGTAGGCTACCAGCCAGATGATCGGCGGCCTAACTTTTTCCGGAACATCATTTCTTCAGCGGCTGTTACTGAAAAAGATGTCGATTTCTTGCTGAACGAAATGGACCGGCTTGGACACGACTTGTAAATTGAATCCGCCTCTACAGAGTTTCGCTAGAATTTGTATTCGTCAAGTTATTCCTATACTTTGGTGTCTATTACAGTTTTCTCAACTTCACTTTTTCGCATCTTGAAGGAATACGTAGTATATCAATGTTTATTAATATCTCGTGCCAAAATATAGACAACATCCCACTGAATTTGTGAACAGTGGTCTTTAGTGCGAAATTTATGTACAGGATGTGTTTCTAGCAAACCAACATTACCTACCCATTTACAGTATTTATGATGCGATTGGATATTCAGAAATTTAGGTTATTCAGTTCGATTGATTCAGCTTAGGGCACCAGGATTGCTATCACCTATTACAAACCAAACGGTAGCGAAACGCGAACAAAAATCAACAATTAGCTAGTGGCTAAAAAGGCACATATGAAATATGAAAGGAAAGTAGAACGGGGATATATCGAACATTTAAAAAGTGAGGAACGCTTTCGGATATATTTCATTATTTCTTTACTAAGTTGAGTTTTCGGTTTTACGAAGAGAATACATTCTTCTCAACAGCGCATCGTTAATATTCGGACTGCTGCACGTTAACCAGAAGAATTCTTGGGTAGCTGAAGTGGGAAACTAAACTAGATTAAATGCCTTTTTGAAAAAAACCATTGCTTCTTGTCCGATAAGCAATGCATTTCAAATCCCCGAAAATACATCTTTCTATGAGAATAATGTTTAGGTATTGAAGAACTTTCCGATATTATATGTTTTTCCTTTGACTGCGTATAAAAATTTCGCATATCGATGCAGATTTAAATTAAAGAAATGTATAAAAATACGGCAGCTGCAAAACTCACGACATCGTGACTAATTGATTAATTATTTACAGCTGCATGCTATTTACAAGCAGTTGTGTGCACACTTTACTCAAATACGTAGTATTTAAATATGTAGTATTGGAACAATAAATAAATAGTTACGCCCCAGTATCCATCTTCGGGTACCCTTAAAAATAATTACCCGAAAGCAGTAACCAACGAGTTACAAGGCGAAAACGAAACAGGCCTTTGAGTAAACATTTTCCAAGGACCTGAAGATAAATTTTTAGGCCGCTACGACCTAATTTTTTGCTTAAAATGCGACTATACTTGCACGTACCCCCGGTCTATCATTCAAATACAGTCTGGTCTGATTCTTATACCGTTACTTCGATAATGGCTTATATAAAACATTATTACATATTAAAATAGTTATATGTACTATATTTGCTTAATATTCTATAAAAAAATATAAAATACTTTCCTTTGCAGAGCAAAGTTTTCTATTGTCAATAAGGCAGTCAATTAGTCAATTTCTCTATGTCGGAATATCGGTTAATTAATGAAACTAAAGGCATTAGTCAATTGTTATTATTATCTTAGCGGAATGTATAGTTTATTGATTGAATTAAATTTATTACATGAATTGTTTTTAAACAAGTTGGCAAATTTTATTAATAAATACGGTTTTATGAACCAATAGTATCATATGAAAACATATCAATGTAGGTGGCAGGAAAAGTCTTGAAACATTACTGAAGATTTTTCCATTGCGGCCTGTTTGCAAAATCACACGACGGTCTGAATGGGTCAAACGTTGAAATTTGAGCGTCAGAATTTAAATAAAATAAACGGAATTAAGTACTGAACGTAGATACTCCATATCATGTCTTAGATCACGATATTATAACACTACAATAGATATACATACCATTGATATCGAAATCTAATGAAACCAAAATAGCTTTTAATAAAAATGATGCACTTCAGTATTGGTTAAATAATTTGAAAGGTAATTTTGCATTATCCGACTATAAAAATTACTACTAACCATACAAAAATTCAGTTTTAGAAATTACGTTGTGTAAAAATATAATATCTAGAACTATTATAGATATCTAGATGTGTAGCTGATGCAATAATGTTGTATGATAATTGAAAGAATCTTTATTTAGAATCGTAATCAGAAAACTATATTTTTCTCTATCATTTATTTACTTTTAAATGTATTGTTATTGTTCAATCACACATTGTCTATTACGTTATATACTATCAATACAGTATAATATTTTCGTGTGGTAGAAGTTCGATTATATCATGTATCTACTCAATATGCTATTCTGTGCTCAAAGTTAAGCAAAAGACCGTATAAATCGAGCTTCTACCGATCACCATAAATATGCGTTATCTCTATATTGTAAATATACTCGAACCTATGCACCTATTGTTAACTCAGCACTTGATGTTTGCACTAAACGTTGTAATATAATAATTGCACTTTCACTATTATGAAAAAATGTTATAGACATATTTTTGTTACGAAATTATATATAAATATCCATTATAAAAAAACCCCAAAACAAACTGGGAAGGTATTGTTATTCTCAAAACTGGGAACTGAATCTTGATTAGGCATTCTAACAAAAATATGTCTTTCCTTTGTATATTGATGTTGTTTGCAATATAAATGTACCCGAAAGGAAATATTGCTCTTGTTTGTTGCTACTTAAGCGAATACTTCTAAATTTTGTCTAAAACAAGAATGTTTAAAATATTGTTTAATGCCCGATCAAATAGGTTTAACAATTATTACTGAGAAAACAAAATCGACGAACAAACAAGTGTTATATTCCTCGATCGGTGATAGAATTATTGGTGTTCAATTAGGCACTTATATTTGGTGCAATGCTTATTTATTCTTAGTTTGTGCTGTTTTTGACATTTAATCAGATGTCTTACGTAAATATTTATTTTCTATGATTGAGATTCAATTCATCATGATCTGAAAACATGACTTTGTGTCTTCATTTAAAATTTGGTAATTATCCAGTAGAAAGTATCCACTTAAAATTCTGGTCAACTTTTAGTAAATTATTAATTAACGATTAATAAGCCCCTCATGCTTTTCTGCCAATTTTAAGGCTGCGCTGCTTGCTATCTTGCGGAAAATTTCTTCTTTCGGTTGTTCTTAGCTGCTTACGCCATATTGTTATCGTTGTGATCGATTACACTTTAGACTCTAAGAGAAATGTAAATTTACATATTTTAATGTTACATATTATGTAAAAAGGTATAGAACCGAACGCATAGTCATCCATACCCAAATCCATTACGGCTTAATAGGCATCGAATTTTAATTGGTAAAAGTGGATGTATAAAAGAGTAGAAAAATAAAGTTATAGCTGTCTTTAGCATGTTTTTTCTTGTCTTATGACATTAAAATTTACTGCAAAAAATGATTTTGTTAAATCATTTCTATCAGCATCACGTATTGGGAACTCAAAAGGAGTATAGCTAACACTATAATCCTATATCCTAAATAAATACCTACATCCTGTATTTTATTCAGCTTAAGAAAATATGTAATTTTTATAGAACCAGGAAACATTTCAATTTTAGAAGCTTCGAGCTTTGGAGAGTATTATTAATTATCTAAACATCAGAAAAACATATTTCCTTATCTCCTGTTTTAATTACGATAATACGATTAAATCACACCTTAAATAGCAAAAACTATTTTTCCCTTAATAATATTGTTAAATATCTTGCATAAATTGTCCAGTTGATAAGTAAATATTTTGAAAACAACTGGATTTCAAAAAAATTAGCATACATTCTAATGAACTCGTTATGAAAATCACATTAAATAAAGAACAACAACAATATCGAGACCTTCAGCTAACCTTAGTTAATGTTAGTTGATATTTAAGCAAACATCGTGCGACTTGAACAGCGTATAAGCAATGAAAAGCTTTATAAGATATTCAAAATACAGCGATTTTCCCATTGAAAATTTGCCATATGGGGTGTTTTCGACGGCCACTGATGTAAGTACTACAATATTATGTTTATTTTAACAAAAAATATGATTTTACTGCTCTTTAATATTATTATTATCGTAATGTTATTATAAATCCACTATTGTAAACTCTGTATAGTTGTTAGTGCTTGAATTAATTGGTCGTGCTTGTATTATAAACATAAACTAATCCAAAAAAATCAGTGGATATCAATGATGTGGCTTATAAATCAAACATAAATTTCCTACATTTCTCATTTGAATGAATATATAGAGATTTTATATAATTATAGAGTTATCGTCTTATTAGAGAATAGAAGTTTAGGATCATCTCAGCATCATTTTGTCAATTGACAAATGCATGTTTTGGTCATCATCTTTTAATTTTAATATTACAATTCGCAATTGCTGGCTTGGTTTGGGTCAACAGCCGCCCCATAAAAAAATGTTGAGTTGTATTGTTAGCTTAACATTTTTTGTCGCCACATTTACGAAAAAAGTATTAATTAGGCAAAGATGTGTTAGATTATGTCTGATTTTCTTGCTTATTAAGTGATCCTTGAATTAACAAAAATAGGAGACCGTTTGTTTTTTGCCGTAATAGTCAAAAAAATTGGTTTGTCGATACTGCATTGTTCCTAATTCCTAATCCGCGATTATAGATTTGGTACGCTCTATTTTCCTCCTATATTGCTTAAGACCCGCTTTATTCATCACTTGAAAAAGTTAGTCATATAACGATATATGCATAATTTTTATATAATTCAAACAATTTTTGTGCAAATTGGCTTCCAGACTACCCCCAGAATTGGCGTTGCTATTGGGGATTACATACTGAATCTTTTCGAAGTTGCACATTTATTTGATGGGCCCTACTTAAAAGAAAAAAACCATGTCTTCAAAGAGGTAAAAACGCATTTAACATTTTATAAGCTGCATATACATTTTTTGTGTATTCCAGTCATCCTTAAACAGCTTTATGGCTTTAAGACCTCCAGAATGGAAAGAAGCTCGAGAATATATTCAAAAGTTACTGTCAGAGAATGACCCAACGTTAAAAGACAACAAGGAATTAATTGAAAGGTGCTAGAAATAATATAACATTAAACAAGCTGTTACCAAAGAAAGATCAATCACAGGGTTTTGATAAATAGACCATCATAGTTTCAAGGGTGGAAGGAGACATTAAGCACAGAAATTGAATGCTTTATAAATATTGGAAAACAATATCTGAATAGAGGGTGTCGATGTTTCTAAAATATTTTTTCGGCTTTCATCAAATTCTCAAAGTTTATTGCTGATCGAATAATACACAATTTGGCTCAAGTGTCAAGGAGATTTTCTTTTAACTTTGCTCCATATTTTTGTAGAGCATGAAATTAAATATTTCAATAATTTGCTTGAAATCGTTGCACTCTATCGTGGTTATAACAGAAAAATCTTCAATTTTTCATCTTAATATTTCGCAAGCGTCATAAAAATATACTGCAAACTCGACAACCTGAGCTTTTCACACTTTCGGTCAAATAATTTCTAGTGTTTTTTGCTACTAATAAGAATTAGAGAATTTGATTGAAAGATAATTGGACATTTTGATGAAAACTTATGTAGTACCTTAACAAACGCGTTAAAGGAAGTCTCTATTGCTTTATCTTGCAAGTGTTCGAAAGTTTTGAATTCGGGAAATAAATATTTTACCCAAAGTGGTGCCCAATTATTGTGTAACTACATGCATCATTAACTATTAAAATATAAATTTTTAAAATATTTATTATATAAAATTAAATAATTTTTTACTGCATTTTAGGGCATTTACTTTGCAATCAAGTGCTATAATGCACTTGCCAGCTCGCATTGGAGATTACACGGATTTCTATTCATCAATTCATCATGCCACGAATGTTGGAATAATGTTTAGAGACAAAAATAATGCCTTATTGCCAAACTGGTAATCCACCTAAATCCCTAATAGGCATGATGGCAAATTTTGGAATACCTTCCGCGGATCCGCAATAAATTAAATACTGGAGAAAATTAATGTACATTTTTATCCTTCTGTTTTGAATTAAGAGCGAAAGAGGTCACACATAAGTAAATATTACGTTTGTCGATGCTCAAGGAAGAAAGTCCACAAACAATTAAATATTTTGTATGCAAAAAATCAATTCCAAAGTTTACAAGGGCGCGACAGTTACAAAAACACATCAATAATAAAAAATTGTTCTTTTACATTCCAAACAAAGAAGTAATGAAATTAAAGTGGCTAAAGCTCGCAAGGCAAAACTCAGCGGATCTCAAAATATTAAACCACTATACAGGGTGTCCCGTAAGCTCATGATCAAAAGGGTACTGCGATATTCTTTGAACCAAAAGAAGACGATCTGACCTAACTATTATTAACAAAAAATTGGAGACCAAGATTTTACAAAGAGCACAAAATTGTGAATAAATGATTAGTGCCTCAACCTAAAAAAATGAGTTGATTTAATCCTCCAACTAAAAAGTTCTGATAGTTTTTGTACCACGACACTCAAGAACTCACCACTTGTCCAAAACGGCTGAACTCGATTGTTTCATCAAAATATGAGTCTTACATAAGAACAAATTTACAGCGAGTTTCACTAAAATACATCGTACCATTCGCCCGATATTTCGAAGAAGATAAATTTTTTGAAGAACTTTGACCATCAATTGCAGAGGAGCCAGACATTTTTTGTTAATAAAAGTTAGGTCAGACTGTCTTCTTTTGGTCCAAAGATTATCGCAGTACCCTTCTGATCATGAGCTTACGGGACACCCTGTATATGTATTTATTGAAGTAAAAAATTACAGAACATTAATAATAATGTGAAATATAAATAACTTACGTGAACTAAATTATACTTAGCACTAAATTTTAGTTATAATGTATTTGCAATGATGTACGGATGAACAATTGAATTCGAAAAACGCTCCCGGCACCAATCAATCAATTTTGGGAAAATTAGATTTGTTTGAAAACCACACAAAAAAAAACAAAATATGGCGACATCCATTTAAAGCACATGATAATTATTTATTTAGGCGTGACGTCAGGCGCTCTCATTAACATTTCTGTTGACTTTATTGTTAATTTTATTAAATATCTTATTAATCCCTTGATTTACATGAATACTACGTCATTTTATGCAACCTTTTCAACCTATATTTTTCTCAAAAATTCGATATTCTTTGTTTCTTTTAGACAGCCACCATGCCTATTAGCTATAGCAAGAAATCGGGAAATTGTTTGCAAATATTAAATTTTGGTATTGTTTGAAATTCCTGGGTTTTCAGTCGAATTAAATCCCAACATTCAAGTATTTTTTCTTATCGGCTAAAAAGTTTGTTGTATTAAACGCCGAGAACCTTTGGAATTGCTTCCTGACGTTTTGCTCACATCTTCGGTAAACATTATAAAAGCCGATGGAGATTTTAAAAAATATATCAAATTATATGTCATAAARCAGAAATAACAAATMTTTAAAAATARTAATTRATGGACACAAATACAGCCCCATTGTAATGAAAATRTGGAAACGTTAGCACAACACAAACACCGAGTATCTGATACAAAAGCAATTATTGCGTAAAAAAAATTCACGATATGATTCAAATCGAGATCAYAGGCAAAGCAGCACGTTTGATATGGAATAAACTATGGAAGAAGTATTTTTTTCTTATATTTAAACACCATCATTTCACTAAAATAGTYAATTAATCGACWTAGTGCAGTAATTAATARAAATGAGAAAARCAAATGAATGAAGAATATAATATTATTTKTTTGGCATTGCGAAGCSAGAACATACAAGTSATCCACGCATCAACGATATAGAATTTAGGCAATTTTTTTTTTAATGAGAACTAAATATTCGAATGCTTTTTTAAATTTCTTCCATTGCAACTTTTGTTATTTCTCYTAACGCAAGAATAAATATTTTAATTGCACGTTGTTACTAAGCCCCAATATGTATGTACGTGTTTTCTATTATTATTTTGAAACAATGACTGTGCTAATACACATTTTTCTGGTACATTAGAAAATACATAATTCGAGTTGCGATTTTGCGGATTTGATCAAATCCCTGGGAATTTCAAACAATTTAAAACCCGGATCTAGTCAGAAAAAAATCAGCAATAAACACTCTGACAAAAACTGAACTTTAACTGTAGGAAATATTTGCCCGTGGGTTATCATGGTAGAGCAAGTTCGGTGGTGATTTCTGGAACTCCAATTCACAGACCGTATGGACAAACTTTGGTTATTGATGGTAGGAGTTTCTGCAACTATTTTAACAGGAAACACCATTTGCGTGTACTCTTAGGTGCTGCACCAGTTTTTGGCCCCTGCAAGCTAATGGATTTCGAACTGGAAATGGCATTTTTTGTAGGTGGTTCCAATGAGTTAGGCAAACCCATTAAAGTACAAAACGCTCATGAGCATATATTTGGCTTCGTTATAATGAACGACTGGAGTGGTACGTTTTAAACTGAAATGTTTCCAAAGTGTTTAAGTGCCATTTATATTCCAGCTCGAGATATCCAGAAATGGGAATATGTACCACTTGGGCCTTTTACAGCTAAGAATCTTGGGACTACAATATCGCCTTGGGTGGTGACCACTTTGGCTTTAGAGCCATTTATTGTCGAAAATTACCAGCAAGATCCCGAGCCATTCGCATATCTAAAGCACTCGGATAACTTCAATTTTGATATCAATCTACAAGTAGATCTTACTCGTAAGCTCTAACTTCTAACAACAATTTGTTTACGCATTAAATTGCCTTTTCAGCTAAAAATTCTACGGTTTCTTCGACGATATGTCGTTCAAATTTTAAGCATTTATATTGGACGGTTAAGCAGCAATTAGCTCATCACACGGTTACTGGTTGCAATGTGAAACCAGGCGATCTTATGGGTAGTGGAACTATTAGTGGCGAAGTAAGTGATTTATTTCCTACTGTTTTACCATCTGCCTAAACGTATTAATTATTTCAGACTTCAGATTCGTTCGGCTCTCTTCTGGAACTTTCATGGAAGGGTACCAAACCGATAACTCTTCATGATGGAACTCAGCGAAAATTTTTGCAAGATGGAGACACCGTTACTATGAAAGCTGTGTGCGAAGGGGATGGTTATAATGTGGGATTTGGATCGTGTGTTGGAGAACTTTTACCAGCAAGGCCATTCGATTTTTAAACCTGAATCATTATGATTTTATCTATTATTAGTTATTGATAAACGTTATAGTTTAAGACCGTTCTTACTAAACAAATATATTGCTTTCTGGTAAAACAAAACAAATTGTTGAAAACTTGTGGCGATTCTTTCAATGTTTTGGTGCAAAACTACCATAACTTTTTATTTCCCAGCTGAGCACAACTGATTTTTTTCAGTTGATGCAGTAATTTTTGTACATTCTGTGGCCTTTGTGAAATTTGGTAGAATTTATGTTTGCACTTTCACCCCCAACTGAGTTCCTCAGAAATCCGACTTAAAATAGCGAACTTTTCCGCTGAGCGTTAAAGCTTTATCAAAATATGGCTTTCAGGTGTGAACAGCAAGCTTCATGAAAATTCAGCTGAACTGAAAAATAGATTTTTTTGAAGAACTTTGACCATCAATAGCGGAGGCGTCAGACATCTTTTCATAAAGTTAAGTCAGAGTGACCTATTTTGAGCGAAATTGTACATTTGTAATCTATAAAAATATGAAATAAATCTATAAATAATATTACATCTTTACAGTTTTTACTTGAATAAATTGTGGTCATTTCGGCATTTTTTTTACTCTATTTTGGTCCTTTATTCTTTTCTCAGGGTCAAGTGGCTTTTATAAACTGTGATTATTACAAGTTGCTACGCGCTCTGGATTAAGTTACGATTTTTTTTAAAACGGGTGTAATTATGTGAAATACCTAATTTTAGACCAACGTTTAAAATGGGGCGAAAATCAGTAGTCACTCATCAAATTCAATCAATCATTCAAATAAAATATTAGCGTTTGTCTGAATGAAGTGTCTTTTATATACCGTAATCATTTAAAGTTGCTACTTGCTCTGGATTAAAAGTTACGATTTTCTATAGAATCGCGCGTAATTATTTGAAATATTTCCTATTTAGACCATCATTCAGAAAAAAACATTTTTTTTCTCAGAAACCTCAGAAACCAGTGTCTTCTGTAGACTGTGCTCATTACAAGTTGCTACTTGCTCTAGATTAAAAATTATGATTTTTTGTAATATTTTTTTAACGAGTGTAATTATGCGAACTTTTTCATTTTTGCCTTTGCAACGGGAGCAAAAATCAGCATTTAATGTTATTGAAATTCAATTTTTAACATTCTCAGAAACAAGTGTCTTCCGTAGACTGTGCTCATTTCAAGTTGCTATTTTCTTCGGATTAGAACTTACGATTTTTTAAATAAACGGGCGTAATTATGTGAAATTCAATTCACGTTTAGGCCAACGTGTATAACGGGCGGAAAAATCAGTATTCACTATTATTGAAACGATATTTTTATATTGTTCGGAACCGAATGTATTCTATAGCTTGTGATTATTTCAAGCTACTACTGCGATTTTTTAACGGAGCGTGCGTAATTATGTAAGCTATTAAATTTTTTGACCAACGTTCACAAAGGGCTCAAAAATCAGCGTTTACTGATATCTCAGGAAAATTTTTCCGTTGCCCAGAAATGAGCATCTGTATACTTTGCTAGTTTGCTCATTCAAGTTGCTACTTGTTCTGGATTAGAAGCTGATTTTTTGCGGAAGGAAGCCCAATTATTATGTGAAGTCTTTCGTTTTCATACGGCATTCATAAAGTGCGTAAAAATCAGAATTTATTGCGATTTGAATGAAACTTCGATATTGCCCTAAAACTGCTAGTTGTCATCTACATTTAAAAAGATGGAAAAAATGATCGTGTTGCATTTCCATTCAAATTTTCGAATTCAAATTTGAAGCTGAATTTTCCCCATTCTCTTTGTGATTTATACTCATGATGAAAACTTTTGTGGAAAAATTCAGTTCATAGAAAATGTAGAAGATTGGAATGCCAGTTTAAAGCCCCATGAATCACTGGAGTTCGATTTTTTAAATAAAATGTCGAAATTCACTTAAGGGATAGTAAAATCCGGCCACAACACCATATTAGCTTTCTTACAAACACTGAAGAGTTTATCGCCTTTTCCATATGTACAAAACTTATTCATCGCGCTCCGGAATTCTTTGGGTTAATTTTAGACCACCAACATTAGAACTCGGGAAAAAACTCCCACTGGTCTTAGTTTGACTCTTCCAGAGCTTCCGGCGCTCAGAAAATACTGAAGTTGTAATCTTCCGGATAACCGATATAGCTTAGCTATATAGATTAGCTATAACTTCAGCTTCTTCAATCGGCTTACGCGATAATTTATCATATAAATATATTTATATTTATCCGTCCCGAAAATTGAACGAGAAAGAAAAGTTAAGCGTTTGCTTTAAAAAAAAAAGTTAACATTTTACTTTAAATTTACTATAGGTATTGTTCAGACTAAAATCGGATAGATGATGCATTCTACCCAACACGATACGTGCACTCCCATCGGTTTGAAGTTTAAAGTGTGCTTACCTTGTAAATAGTGGTGTTTCTTGGTGAAATGCAGGCTTCTATGCTATTTTGCTCATTCAAGTAGGCAACTTGCCCATTAGGAAATCGGCCACACGGTCTTAGTTAACTCTGTAAACACTTTTCAACATGCTGATGATGAGAAATCAATATTTTATAAAATGTCGGAACAGGTTGCCAATTATTAACAACAAACGGGCAATTAATACAAACTAAAAAATGTGTTTAAAAAATTATGTATAAACGAAACATGGACTGCGACGGTCTAATAAACAACGTGGACGGCAGGGCGTATTTTTTGTTTTTAAGGGAAGTAGTGAATTTCAATTAGTACACCTAATTTTTCATAGAAACACCAACAGCAAAAGTTAAAGAGTTTATAATGTCAGCTAAGATATATTTAGCTTCGAACGCTAGTGAGAAGTAAGCAAGGAAAATACCACTTTCAACACATGGAATTATTACTATTCCACTCTGTACATTTTCAACAAAAAAACGTTCGAAATCAACAACATAGTTAAACGATGAGACATCCAAGGGACGATCAGCAAACGGTTATATCAGAATGTTCGTACTGTAGCGCAGAGTGTTTGGAATATGGGAAAAACTTCAATATCGCCTGAAAAGTTTTGAAAAGCTAACTAGTATTTCCTTTGGTACGGGTAGTGATTATAGCTGGATCGGGTGGTGAAAATATTCGAATTTTGGTACGAAAATGTAAAGTACCGGTGTTAGTAGGTTTATCGGAAGTGACCCTTTGTTCCAAGAGAGTTACAATCAATGTGGAGAAATGGTTGCACTGGATGAGGATACCAGCTTGCAAAAAGCTTGTAAGAAATATCTCTAATATGTAAATCACGTAGCTTCAAGAACTGACTTTACTCCTTCCAAAACCAACTGCATTTTATGGTTTCATAGCATTTTTTTTTCATTTCTTTGCCAATTTCAAATTCCTAGACATTGGAATGTTTCTCTGTTATTCTAAAGATTTTTCCTTTTTTATTTCCAGAAGGCGAGATCCAGATTTTGGTAAGTGGAACATTATTTGCCTCTGGTTGTCATGTAGATCTTTTTTAGCCTTATTTTATTGGCTTGTATGCATTTTATTATATTGTTGCATGTAATATTTATTCCACGAGGAACGACGAGGAAATTTCTGGGTTCTGGATTGGGTTTGCAAAATTTCTCTGTTATTTCAGTCAAATACGTTCAGGCATCGGTTTTTATAAAGTGGACCGATTTTACACCGAAATTAACCGTAAAAATGTTTACACGTTTTATTGTCTTGGATGGTAGTTTGTATCTTTTATCAGCGTTTTCCTTCAGTGGATTACACTCACAAATAAAAAGTGCATGCAGTTTCAATATGAACTGTGCATATTGTCGCGATTCAATTTTTTGCTCAGTTTTCACTCAGCAGATTTTGCCTACATAAACTTTTAAACTTTGAAAGTAAAACAAAGATTTCCTGGTGTGAAATAAATAAAAATAATAGTAAATATCTCAACATTCGTGCTTTCCTACTGTAATAATGTAAAAAGTTTAGAACAGAGACCAAAGGACCTAAAGGTATATAGAGCTTGCTTATTAACGCTTTAAAAAGCTGCACGTGATCCTGGTCAACTTATTTAGATTTTGCGTTATTTCTTCTCCAAACTATTTTTTGCAATGCAGTTTGTGCTAGGCTATTTTTAAGGTTCTGAAGACATTCAGTTTTTGTAAGGAAAGTGGCTGTTAGGGAATTTCAGCGGTCTGGATACGGACGGCAATTTATTTTGTAGCAATAGATGGCAACCAGGGTTGTAGCTTTTTATTTTTTGGCTTGCATATTTTGTATAGCGGCTTAACTTGAATTTATACTGCGGTTCTTGCAAAGCTAATAATATAGCGGTTATAGCAAAATGTATACTGCGATTTTACAAAAGTTTTGGAAATTCAAGATTTTATGAGTTTGTGCGTGTATGTGTGCTGTACACCTTTTTGGGTACTGAAGGTGAGTTTTAAGAAACTTTTATTTACCTATTAAGAATTTTCTTATAGCTAAAAACTGATCATATTTTATTGTATTCTTCACATACTGACTAAAGATATTTTTAAGTTACTTTACTAAAATGCTTCTGTTTACTGCCATGAGTTTTTTGTTATGGAGTCAATTTTGCCTTCTATACGCATTTTTTAGATACTTATCAATAAGTAAAACTAACTCTGAATTATTTCGGGCCCACTAGATAATAGCTTTGTATTAGGTTTTTTCAGATGGGAGATTAGTGCTAAGAGTCTACTAATCTCTGTTCAAAGCACGAGTTATGTGTTTTCACACAACCCATTTGTAGAAAAAAACTTGAAGGAATGAACCTTGTTAGATTGTTTTATATTTTTCAATGTACGTCACGTCATAATCGTTAATGGCAGAAACTCCAACTCAACTATTCAATTATATAAATGACCGAAGTTTTAGAACTGAACTTAAAGCTAATTACAATGAAACACTAACAAATATCGGAAAAGAACAGTGAATTATTCCTATCCATCTACTGGGTATCTCTATGATTATTAGGATCCGTAAATCTATCCATAATGAATTGCCTATTCGGGTTGCTACAAGGAGGCATATTRTAATTATTGTAACGTTCCACACCCTGATGTGGGATTCCAGAGGAAAACCCCTGATTGGGCATTATTATATTATCGAGACGTTCTTCGAAACTGTTAAAATTAAGTTGATTTCTTTGCCGAAATTGTGGTATCGGAATATTCGTGGTTTTCGGTACTGTAGGTACTCGATTATAGCCTGGCGAATTATGGAGTAGTTGAGGTTTTCGCGTGGGAGTGAAAATTTCCTTTATGAAACGCCTATTGTTCTCAGGTTGGCGTTCGCAATGTAAGTTTAGTCGACAATCCTGGTTATTTTCGACAATTGGTGTAAAGAAACTCGTACGACGATTTTCGAAACTAGGCGGCAGAGATTGGGATTCAATATTTTCTTTCCGGTCATCTTCTGGATACTTTAATTGATTGTCCTGAAAATTAAAGTTTGCTCTGTGCACCATTGAAGATTCAGGCTTAATAGTTTGTAAATGTTCTCGATTCCTACCAGTTTGAAGATGGTTTAAATGGGAGCTGTTGTTTGTATGAGGAAGATGGTTTACTGGTTCTACATCCAGCTGCTGTAGACAGCTGTCGATATAATTTTCAGGTATATCATTAACACGAGGATACATTGTAGCTCTATTTGAATATGGTGATCTCTCATCCATGTAACCATAATATGGAGGTGTGGTGATCGGGTTTTCAAAACGTGAATTATAACGATAGTTATCATTTACGTGTCTAACAGGTGGATGACCACAACACAAGCATATATTTGGAGGAGTTGGCATTGGCCGTTGATAAAAATGTTCTGATTTTGGGGGCGGATAACCAAAGTAATGACTTTGGCGAGGCGAATAACTAGATTCATTTGAAATATATGGATTATAATATCTATGGTCTGCAGCATATCTTCCTGAAATTTCAGAGCGGCTTGAGGGTCTAATAGGCCTCGTATCCAAACATGTTTTAGACGTAGATGGAAGAGCTGCATCAAAGTTATTCGGTCCATTATTTCTGTTATATGTTACATTCGAAAAAGTGTTTCTATATTCAGGATTCGAGGACGGATGAAATGAAGTTGGAACAATACCACCACCTCCTGCAGGCAGATCGGGTGTTTTCGATGCCATACGTCCAGAACTCATCGATATATCCAATTCCTTTGACATTGCCAAAAAATCGCTCTGAGAGAACAAATCTTGTGTTGCCTGAAAAGTCTCAGCTTTATTATCAGCAGAGTTTTGACCTGTGCCAGATTGAGGCATATTATTTCTATGTGGTTTGATACTGTTTTCATCTGTTCTGGTATTGGTATTCATAAGTTTACTGTAGTATTTCACAGCCGATTCCTTTCTTCTGTTAGATAGACCAAAATATTCTGGGTCGCAAATGTCTTCCAATCCCTTAAGCCTTGTGCTAAATGATTCGTTTGCATCCTCAGTATATTCTTGATCAGTCAGTGGAAACTGATGTTTGGATTTCTTTTTTACTGGCTCCATAAAATGGTTGGCTTGCTTATCCGAATTATCTGTTGCATTTGAATTTTTACTGGAGAAACTGTCTTGAAATCTGAAAAATAATATTATGATATATTATTATGGATTTTTCATTATTAAGTCTTGTCAGTCTCTGTCTGAATAAATATTTTTACCAACAATCATTAAATATGTGTAAAAATATATACCTTATTTATAGATAAATCTTGCTTTCTTTGCAGAAACGACTATTAGTCAGGTACGTCTTATTTTAATTTGCGATTTAGCATAAGTGGCTATATAATTATTATAACTTAACTTATTTTAAAATTTCATCTAATGAAATCCACAGGAATTTTTATTTTCCTGATTATATCTAGCATAAACGCATCGTGCGTATGTACTATAAAGCAGACGATTTGAATTTTGCATTTCACAATTAAACCGAAAGCGCAATAATTTCGTACGATTTTAAATAGTGGCTGGATATTGTTAAATATTCCCCAATTTACATCCGCCAACAAATATCCGTTAGAAATATATCAACATATGTAGAGACTAGTTAGGAAATGTATTTAGATCAGTTGAAGTAAGTTGTCATTGCAAAAAGCGTAAAATACTCACCCCATGGAATCTACATTCTCCTTAAGATGGTCAACTCGTTCGCCCTCAAAATTGAAATCAGCTGGTCTCAGAGGCGAATATTTTACTGTGGGTGAATGGACGAGTGGTGATCTCCATTTTATTGACTTTTGAGGAAAGAAATCGAAGGCGGATCCATTAATAGACCTCCGTTGATTTTTCGGTTCTGGTGAACCAAAATACCTTCTGAACTCTACGTGATCAACTGTCGAATCTGGATTATCCATTATTTCCTGTAAATGTAGTACATTTTGCTCGCTTCTTAAATTTGATATTCATTTTTATAAATCTAACTTATGTATTATAACAAATAATAATATATACAGGAGCCGATCCAGCTTTCAAGTCAGGGGTTCTTTTGAGCCACAGATTTGGCATCGTTGGATAGAGAATCGAAAATTCGATTTAGTCATAACAACATGAGTGAGGAAATTCGAGTAGTTTTCACCGTAATTGACCGTAATTAACCGAAATTCGAAAAACATGTCGACTTAGATAAGAACATCTACATGTAGAAGTTCCCCCACATGTAGATCCCAACTACCATTATTTTAAAGTTTCAAATGGCACGACACACTGAATTCCATAATTTTACAAGTAACAAAATTCTCTTACCAATGATGTGGGAAAAAGTAAAATTGAATGATCGGTTCAAAACTTTAAAGCGAAAATGTTTCATATTACCACAAAAAATATAAATCGCCGAAAATATGGTAATTTATTGATCTCGGCTGTTTATTTATTTTATAAACTGTCGAAAATGTTGGCCGTTGTTCGCTAGGCAATAGTAAAGCATGTCGTGAAAGTCTTAACAAACATTAATCAAAATTTAAATCAAAAATTCTTGCGATATTCAATAATATGCAGGAACATATTCAGTGAGAAACATGCATACGAAATTGGCTTGAAATGTTGATAATATTAGTGAATGATTTCAAGGCAGGCTTCACTTTGCCTAGCGAATAACGACGCACATTTTCAACAAATCATAAATTAAATTAATAAAGCGAAATTAATAAATTACCAAATGTTTCGTCGATTAATATTTCTGTCTTAATTTGGCGCATTTTCTCGTCCAAGTCTTAAATCGACAATTCAATACCACTTTTTTGGGTGGTTGAATGGAAAGTATTATTCTCTTTAAAACTATGTGTTACTTCTTGGGAGTGCCATTTAAAATTGGTAGTTGGGAACGCAGGGGTTGATTGTTAGAATAGAATCGTTCAGAATAATAATATGGGTAATGATAAGAAATCATTTGATTACACTTTTATCTATCAATGAGTTCTGAGTTGAGTCTTCCAGTTGTTTTTGTATAATGAAAAACCACAATGAGAAAACTGAAGTTGTAAGCAGAATAAATGGACCTTCGCTCCTCAAGTTCCTAATCAACGATAATCTTTTTCCAACTTACCACATATAATATAAATATTAAAGTAAAACTTGTATGTAAATTCAACCAATTGTTCAATGTAATTCAACAGTAACAAACAATGTACTTTTATATAGACAAAACCGCACAAGGCACATTAATTTGACACCTGACTGACATTAAGATTCGTAATAAAAAAATAACAATGACGTAGTACATCAAATACGCCAGATCTTCCTTGCCGACTTGATAGCAGATTTAATAATTTAATATAAGATTCCGTTCACACCAAGATGAGCAACATATTTTTAATATAAATAAAACATGCTTAAAAAAAAATAGCCCTTAAGTATTAGTCCTTGATGAATCGCTCTGAAGCTAAACTGAGTTAACTTAGAACAAGGTCATTTTGCTCTAAACTCCGCTACCAATCGAGAATCGAACTTCCAGACTAAATAGTACACTTAGACGTGTATGAAAATTACGTTCAAACACTCTTCAATTAACTGATCTTTTAGACCAAACATTTGTATATAATTTTTTTTAATTTCAGTTTCAAAACAGCAAAATTTGCTTAGTCTGGGAACCTTATGAATTAGTAAGTGTTGTTTTATAACTTTTTTAGATAAATTTATTAGATAAAACTAAAATACAGTTGGTCCAAGAAGAAAAACCGTTAAATAGTTTCAGAAATGTGACGATTTCAAAATTAAATTGATCATTTTGCTCTGAGATACAAAACATCTTATCACGTCTTATTATTTCAACTTCACTTTTGAGAAAAACTGTATTAACACAAGGTGGCTCAAAATTTCCGTTCTAATGCATTTCACTGAGAGATTAAGATTTAGAAACTTTTTATAAATATTTTACTGTACTTTCTAAGTCGGAATACAATATTTTTGAATCACCCTCTGTATTTTTCTTCATATAACTCTACATTGTATTCATACAGCTTATGTCTAAATAAAACTAAAAATATGCTTAATTAATTGATGCGGTTATAAATATATTGAGTAGTTTAAAATTATTTTGCTAGTTAAATTGCAAGAATAATACATTCACCTTTGGATTACCATGTGAAGAATCATCTTTATTTTCCATACATTCATTCACGTTTGGCTGATTTGTTTCGAAAAGATACTTCTTTGACATATTTTTAATGAAGGTGCAGTTCAATTTGCTATCTTCCAAGCATTGCTCAAATTGATTCGTTTCCTCAGAAGGCTTAATGGTTTGTGCGCCTAAAAGGTGGGTGGCCTTTTTTTTCTTTGTAGTCACAGTTTCATTACCTAAATAATGAAAAGTGCTAACATAATATATCGCAAAGTCAAGCTAACGCCATTGGCATTGACCTACCATTGTTTGTAGGCGGGTTAACGGTTGCACTCATTCTTTGCTCATTACTTGCATCATCAGAAGTACGACCACTAACTTCCACTAGCTTCCACTGATCATCGCAATTCCTACTTTCAGCTACGCCTCTTTTAAGTTCAGAGCTTTGTTCTTCATCTAATATTGATGATAATGACAACACTTTTTCGTCTAATTGCTCTGTGGTTTTCTCTCTGGTTTTTTTGAATTTGTACGTGCTTTTGTTAAAATTTCCGATGGACTTCGAATCTAGAAGTTCAACTTTTGGATTGTCTCCTCCTTTCTTAACGTCACATAGAGGTGATTTCTTTACTTCTAAAGGATAATATCATGATATAATTTTCAACATACTGAGTAGGAGTTAAGTAGTCTTATTTGGGGTGCTCGTGAATTGCCTGATTATTTTCTACGATTTATATGTACCTTGGCTATTCATATTTTCAGTTGTTGCTTCACATTCTCTTCCATCTTGTATTATAGCTTTAGTATTTGGCTTATTCGTTTCTTTTACAGGTATTTTAGCATCAGTTTTCTGAAAGGTTGTACAGGTAGTTGTTTTTGAATAGAATACACTTAGTAAGTTATTTTATTATTAAAATGTGAAAGTGAAACATAAAAAAACAAAAATGTAAAAGCAATTATCAGCCGTTGAAGGAATCAGGATGCAAAAGTGGTTATTTTGCATAATCAGAACATGATCAATACTTTGTAGCGTCTACACAACATTTTAATTGCTCAGATTTTCAAACCTTCAGATATTCGTATTACAGTTTAGCTTGCGCTTACCATTTTATAAGTCCTAGGCTTTTTCACTTTATTCATACCCATATACGAATCCAAACATGTTTGTTTCTTGTTTGTAGAAAGATTCTCTACACTATTTGTCGTATTTGTGGAAATGGTCAATTTGCAGCAACAGTCAAATCCCACTAAATAAATGTTAACTTGCAGTAAATATTAAAATACTCATCGCGTCTTACCCCAGTTGTCGCTTATATAGCAAGCTTTGATAAATTCCAGATTCGCGTCTGTGATTTTGAAGGAACGTCGCACTTCGAGTGTGTCCAACATGTAAGAGTGTCTAGAAAATTCATAGCAAATATTTAGACTTGAACAAGACAATTGAAGCGCTAAATACTAATTGACACCTTGAACGAACTAATTATGTATTTTGTATTATGTATTATGTAAATTTACTTGTTAAGTTTTGTCTACTCTATTTTCATTCATTAACTTACGAATATTTCTCATAGAGCAAAATGTTATTATTGCTATCTCCCACTAGAAGAATCATCATCGAAACCAAACTGACGGTACATTTTTGCTTAATTTCACTGGGATTCATCAGGGTTATCGATAAATCAATATCAGTACCAACTCTTTGCAGAGTTATGGCATATTGTGGAAGATGTGAGGCTTCGTCCACAATAGAATTACCAAAAGGAGCTTTTCTATTCACAATCTAAAAAATATTGCAGCTCATTAAATCTTATACTAAATATGAACAAATACTTGCCATTTCAATATGTCTAGGATTTGTGCTGGTAATTTCTTTAAAAGATGTTTTCCCGGCCTTCATAAGTAACGTAGAAATAACCTGGCCGACCCCAGTGAGTTGTTTCGATACGTACGGCGAGTTTTCCCATAATTTCACTCGAAAACATTTTGCTAACGTAATTGTATTGGAAAGGGCGCTGTAGCACTTGTCCCTGGTTTCAAGATATTCTATTAAACCTATAGAAAAACTGAGTTATCTAATCCGGTTAAAAATGCGGCAAATCTCAATTGAATGCATAAAATAAAGATAAATATAAATGAAGCAATTAATTTTGGCCATATGTGAGCACCTTGATCACAAGTACTCAAAGAAACAACCCCACCCGTATGGTAATTTGTATTCCAAATTTCACCTTGATATCTAGTTTTTGTCCGGCCAGCTTTGGCAGATTCATTAACATGCTTTTTCTTAGCTTGATTTTCGGTTGAAATGGTTTCGAAAAAATCTGTATATAAATATAAACTTATAGAAAAAATCTGACAAGGCACAAAATGATTTTAATCAGAAAAGTAGTTTGAAAGTGCAAAACAAACCTGAAAAATGCATGTTACATGCATCAATACGCTCTCAGCATTTTATTATAATATGCATATTAACACTTGCAACCTAAAGTTATTTTTCTAGTAAGAAAAAAACGAAAATAGGAGTTTAGATAAAAATAACAACAAATGTGGGATTGTAAATAAGTTAAAATCCTTGAGGTGTGGACATAATTATATAATATGGTGCATTTCCACGTTTTTTCAATAAAACCTTCTTTAGTAGTAATTTTTTTTCTTATTAGATAAGTTTCTCAAAGCAACTTACAATTCGCTAAACGTTCACAGCATCGCATTATTTTCATCGAATCGCAGACAAGCCCCTGGTTTTGAATATCCAAGTTCCCAAGCACTGCCTGAATTATTCTGAAAGCATTCGATAGCCATAAAACCATATAATCAGTCTGCCTCCGTATTACGGTAATTGACGTAAATAATGTTCTAATAGTTAATAATTAGTAATTATTGAACTAAATTGAACCGAGTAAATTATAACTGAAATTAATAAAAAGCCACGAATCCTCAATTGATTTAGTTCTTACATATAGACCAACGTATTCAGTTTATATTATTTCAGTTTTTTTCTTGAACAGAAGGTCAGAACTGTTCTGAATCATTTTTTGTTACGTTAGACTGAACTCCACTAAAATTTTAAAATATAATTTCAAATACTTACACGTTTACCTTCATATCATTAGATTTTATTCGTCCTGTAAGAGGAAATCGAATAGCTTCCTTCTTCGTGTTCTTATTCAATAAATTCAGACACCGTTTGTCAGTTGTCCTTAAGTAAAAATCCGAAAACTCTTTACACTTTGAAATGATGGCAAGAATTTGAATTAAAATTTCAGAACCTGTAATCTGAAAAAAAATATTTCAGTAAAAACTAGCAATAAATACAAAGACAACAAAATTGATTTTCGATGTTTCTATTTTGAAAGAGCATATAATACCTTTCTTCGCAAAAATAGCGTTTAAAGCCTAAATAGATTCAGTCAAATTTCTTAAAACATAGCCTAAGAATAGAAATTATTTAATGTAATCGAGTGAACTTCGGTTTATCAAATTTTATAATAATAATATTAGGTAAATGATTTCTTGCAATGATCTTCCATTGATTGCATGATCAATACAAAAAGATTTCGACTGTTTGAATTTTTTTCGGTTGCATAAACTATTTTATTTCATCATTAAAGTCCTCCTTTGGACACTATCTTAGCAACTTTTGATTGACTGTTTAGATAAAACTACATTTTTTCGTTTTTTAATTAATAAAATGTTTAAGACAAAACCATACAGTATTTGCCAATGTTAATCACAAATGAACTTATGCATGTCTGTGCAGTCTTCGGTAACTCGAAAATTATAAATCTAAGAAACTTTGTTCATATTTGATCAGAGTATATTGGGGCTTTAATAAGAAAATATGTTTACAGATACAAGGTAAAACAAATAAGTGTAACGTCTATAGTGTATTGGTTTTCAATGGCACATTTGCGGCTTCTGCTGTCTCTAGACAAGCTTACTTACAAAGTATTTACAAAAAAGTCTTCGTGCCATTAACCGGTTATTATCGTACTGTATATAAGGGAATGCTATTTACCTGTGTAAACAATTTCATAGTTTCGAATGCTACATAATATTTGGCCATAATTTCACCAATAACCGTTGGGGTAACTTCAATAGCCTGATTCATTCTGATCATGCCTGTTGCAACTAGTTTATTCAGGTCTATTTGGCACATTTCTTTAAAATAAAATAATACTCTGACTTCTGAACACTAAGCTAATGAGTATGAACCTACACGCTCAATCATCTATAAATAAAACTTGCTCTTACCAAGTAATTTTTTGTCAATTTTATCTTTACTTAATCCAGCGGGAAGTTTATACTTTTCCGGAGATTTTCTGGCCCGCACATATAAAAATGTGGACGATAGCCATCTCATTGCTACTTCCAAATCTGTGATAGTCCGAAGAACAACTTCTGCATTTAAATGCTCTGTCAAATGTTTATGCAGATTGGACTCGATTATCTGAGAGCAGCTCAACATTTGTTCATACTTGATCTGAAAATTGTGCCTGCAGATATACTTTTGCTTGAATATCCATGTTGCTAATGTGCTACATATTCAATTAATGTATGTCGTACTAAGGACATTTAAAATAGCTTTAACTTTTCAATTAATTTTAATTTCAATTTAAGGTCTTCATTTTTTTCGACATTTACTGTTTTATAATCTACTACTCAAATAGTAAACTAGTCAAATGTCTGATTTTCTCAGATATGACTTCTGTTCCAACGATATAAATTTTTCCTGTTTACGTATTTGTTACGACAGAAAAATGCCATTAATATTACCTTGTCCTGTAGACTGGTCAAAATTAGAACAGTCGCGCTGGTATCAAATTGACTCCTTCCAGCTCTTCCTATCATTTGGAAAATCGATACTTCGTCATAATCTTTATAGCCTCCATCGGAATAACATTTTGTACATTTGACTATTACCAAGTGAGCTGGTAAGTTTACTCCCATTGCCAAAGTACTCGTAGTTACCTGAAGAAAAATTAAGAAATTATAAACTTACAACTATTGAAACAACTTAACAAAAAAATGCGTAAACAATATTTATCTAAAAAAACCATGAGACAGCCAACTTTCCATTTAGAAAGGGAAAAACATTTTAACAGCAAAACATTGAAAAAATACAAATAAATTGCAATATTCACTTGCAGCACAATTTACTTACCAAAACCGGTATTTGTCCAGTTTTGAATGATTCTTCAATAGTGTGTCGAGTATTTGGAATCAATCCTGCATGATGGAAGGCAATTCCATGGACAATATTCTGTCTTAATTTCACATCAGCAATATTTTGGGAAATTTTCATAAGAATTTCTTTTTGTTCTTGGGATAAGCGAATTTGCAAATTTTTCACTAAGTGATTTGCAGTCATCTCGACACTTTTCCGCGTATTACAAAATATCTATAAATATTAAATTCTAATTAGTATTCGCAATTCTTATTTTCATTTATGAAAAAATTAGTCAATGATGATTGTATATGTAGATATGTGTAAACTTTGGTACAATTCAAGAAATATAACTTCAAGCTATGACCATAGAGTCACAGGACACCCTCAATTTATAAAAATGTTTTCCGAAAGGTCATATTAAGTTACCGTTCATACGTTGAATTGAAATGTAAAAATGAAAAATTGAAATTATTGGATTCCGTTATAAACAAACTAAACTGTTCAGATTCCATTAAAATAGCATAAAAAACCGTTTACTTTTCCACTGTTTTTAGCTTCAAATTTCCACTTACCAATGTGGGTTTTCCTTCCGAGTGTTTCGATATAAGACCAGATATTTTATAGCTCAAAGACATGTCGAACTTGAAAACTGATTGAACTTGTGGATTGAAATTATAGCCAAGTACTATCTTATTTAGTTTCACGGGCCGAACTTCCTCTGAAAACCTACAAAAAGAACAATAGTAGCACTTTTAACTTCTTAACTATTTCATCATTAATAACTTTTATTTGAACCTGAAAAATACATTAACAAAACGAGTGACGTAAAGTGTAACGGATAAGAGGCACATAAAAATAAAAACATTTCCTTTCGATTTCTTAACATTTTAAATTATTAACGAATGTAGCAGCACATTTTATAATTTTAATTCAATTAAATTAAGTTGTACTTAAAATATGTTTCACATGCTTTTAAAAAATGCTTCAAGTGACAAAACACATAAATTGGACCAATAATTAAAAATTACTCTGTCGATTGTCGGATTGTTGATAAGTATTTTTGTGCGCTGCAATTAAAATATTACTGTATCGCAATATATTTTTTATATTTCTATATTTATCTGTTTGGATAATTTTCATATGTGTTACAGTTTCGTAAAATTTTCTTAACTAAAGCGTATTAAATTTGAATTGCTAATATCGAACTGATCAACTTACTGGAAGTATTTAGCGGGTTCTGATTGTCCCATCCACTCTGCAATATCTTCAATATTTGGAATCGTTGCTGATAAAGCAATGAATCTAATACCTTTAGCATTACCATTAAACAAGTACGATCCTCTAGCTGTTTTCATTCTACTGACCTGAACATAATCAAAACAATTATATTTTACATAATGATTAAGAAAATTGTAGTCGCTTTCGGTACTTCAAAATAGAGCAGGAACCAAGTTGCGGTTAGCTAAAGCGTGTGGAAGAAAATAAAACATTTTTGTAGTTATTTGAATAACTATAAGAGTCAAAAATATACAGAGAGGTCCAGGTTACAGGTCATAAAATTTAATAAGTGGTCATCAAAATTAAAATAAACTTTACTTCGAAAATTTTGCAAGCAGATAGTTTTTATAAGAGAAATACAGGGTGCTAAAGTTTAAAACCTAAATTTTTTTATGATAATTTTCAGTACTGTAATAGATAGATACTTAATCATTGAAATAATTTTACAGTTCAAAGTCAGTGGCGGATTGACTGGGGGGAGCCGATCTTTAGCCTCTAAATATTTAAAAATAATAAAAACGTCTTTATTTTTTAATATGATTAATTTCTTAAAATTCTTAATTTCTTAAATTTCTTCTTCTTTTCTTTCTCTAAAAGCTGGGATCGTGGCGGATCCCTTTAAACYCCCTTGCAGAATATTATGAAAATACTCACTATCACTTCCAATGTAGAGCCTCTTGAATCCGCATTTAACAAATGCACTTCATCAATTAAAAACAARGAGACGGCATCAATCAGTTTATTATTCTCTTTCCATCTTCTCGTTAAAACATCCCATTTTTCYGGAGTTGAAATAATGATATTGTATTGCAAAAGTGCCCTGGGATCGACCTCATCATTATCACTCGTAACTGAGATACAGTTCACACCAAAACAGGAAAGCTTTTTATGCCAATCAACCAGCCGTTCTTGGCACAACGCCTTTATAGGCGAAACTAAATGTGAAAAAAAGTCGAAAGCCCTTAACAAACTTTGAACAAAAAAGTATTAGTTCAACCTACTGTAAATAATTTTATTGTCGAGTGCATTCAGGCTAGCTTCACCAGCAACCAAATGTCGCACAATAGCCAGTTCAAAAATTGCCGTTTTGCCTGATCCAGTGGGTGCAGAAACGACGAAAGAAGTATCTGTTCAGTAGCTAATATTAGTACTTTGGCATAGGGAACGCGGAATAAAGTTTTATGCTATTCTCAGAATTTGAAGTTTTTACGAATCCAGAATCCAAATTTCGAACAAACAGTTCCTCGAAATATATAGTAAAGTAAAAGACCAAAATATTTAGAAAGTAATTACGAATTCCAAAATAGTATTAGGTATACAGGGTGAACTAATTGCTAAAAGCAACTATTAAGATGGCAATATTCTAAATCGTAAGTTACAAATTTGGTTCAATTAAACAAAAGTTGTCAAATTTTGTTCGGGTTTGAGAATACCGAGTACAAACATATATTACCGAAAACGATTTTTACAGAGAAATCGGAAACCAAAAATTCTAGGTCATAAATGTTCGCACTTTTTATTAGTTTTTAGTCTTACGCATTTATTTTAAATTTAATAAAATAGCACATCCAGTTTATGAGATGTCGACACTAACTCTATTTTTTTAAATAAGGGCGTGGATTTTTCTATCGTTTATTTCAATGTACATATTTCTCTSATTCCATTGATGTGTCACAAGTTTYTATTWRACGACGTTTTCGKCAAAAMAAAATAATATCCAAGTTTTATCATCTAAAAAWTACAAATTCGACCCTGGATTKGAGTTGYAAATTGCATGTTTCGGTTGCTGATCGATGAGTTGTAGGTTCGACCTTTGCAAGTAATATTATTTTGWTTTATCRTTGTGAAATTTTATAKTRGGTATTTTGTAAATCATTTTATTTYATTTTAYATTGAAGTKTTAGGATTAGGTATAAGGTACTTCTCTTTAAATAACACAACATTATGGAATTGTGGGATAAAAATAGTTCGTGGTGATTAGTCAAATTAATATTACTAAATCATTGRAAACAAGGCCAAAATATATCAATTAGTGACAACAAAGACACACATACTGCAAATMACGGCAAAAGTTAAAAATTAAWKCTATTGTATTAAGGACTTTSTGTGTGGACGAGTGTTTYTTAKAACTTTTYTTAGCAAATTATTGTAAAATAGTGGGTGTCAGTGTTGCACAGACGACTCGCATTTATCTACATACAGGGTGTTCCGTAAGCTCATGATCAAAAGGGTACTGCGATATTCTTTGGACCAAAAGAAGACGATCTGACCTAACTTTTAATAACAACAAATGTCTGGCTCCTCTGCTATTGATGGTCAAAGTTCTTCAAAAAATTTATCCTTTTCGAAATATCGGGTGAATGGTACGATGTATTTTAGTTAAACTCGCAGTGAATTTCTTCTTATGTAAGACTCATATTTTGATGAAACAATCGAGTTCAGCCGTTTTGGACCAGTGGTGAATTCTTGTGTGTTGTGGTACAAAAACTACCAGAACTTTTTAGTTGGAGGATGAAATCAACTAATTTTTTCTAGGTTGATGCACTAATCATTTGTTCACAATTGTGTGCACTTTGTAAAACCTTGTAGCATTCATAGCTTTTGCGTAAAAGAAATATGTCTGTTTTCTAGTCACTTAGCGATGCTAGACATTTACTGCAAATATGCGCACTTTCACGCAAATTGTTTTTGCAAAACTCTAATACTTTGACCATGTCGGTCACTTCTTCATTAGAAAAAGGTAATTGAAAACGAATTTGTGAGATTGATGGAGAATGATTTTATGCCTCGTATGACGATAGTTGCAGTTAATGTCTAACATTGTTAAGTTGCAAGGAAACAGAAGTATTTTTTTTCGCATAAACTATGAATGCTACAAGATTTTACAAAGAGCACAACATTGTGAATAAATGATTAGTGCATCAACCTAAAAAAAAAATGAATTGATTTAATCTTCCAACTAAAAAGTTCTGATAGTTTTTGTACCACGACACTCCAGAATTCACCACTTGTCCAAAACGGCTGAACTCGATTGTTTCATCAAAATATGAGTCTTACATAAGAACAAATTCACAGCGAGTTTCACTAAAATACATCGTACCGTTCGCCCGATATTTCGAAAAAGATAAATTTTTTGACGAACTTTGACCATCAATTGCAGAGGAGCTAGACATTTTTTGTTAATAAAAATTAGGTCAGACTGTCTTCTTTTGGTCCAAAGATTATCGCAGTACCCTTTGATCATGAGCTTACGGGACACCCTGTATATGTATTTATTGAAGTAAAAAATTACAGAACATTAATAATAATGTGAATAATAAAAAACTTGCGTAAATTAAATTATATCTAGCACTAAATTTTATGTACGGATGAACAATTGAAAATTAGATTTGTTTGTTGTCACCAACTTGTCCAAAACGGCTGAACTCGATTGTTTCATCAAAATATGAGTCTTACATAAGAACAAATTCACTGCGAGTTTGACTAAAATACATCGTACCATTCTCCCGATATTT